TTTCTTCTTCGAGTGCTTGCTCATGTCAATTCCATTCTAAGTGACTCACAAGCAGTGACAACGGAGGTGGGCTTGTAGTTCACGTTTTGCAGCTTGCAGCACTGTTCTTCTGAAGCCAGCATCGTCCCGGGCCTGCTGGGTCAGCACATAATGGGATGTAAACATGTGGACAGACGACCAGGTAGCAGCTCTACAGATCTCTTGGATCTGCACATGAAACAAGGCGGCCACTGATGATGCTTGCACTCTAATCAAGGCGCACTTGACTAATCATCGGTGGAGGCACACTCGGGAGCTCGTAGTAGTATCAGATGCAGATTGTGAACCAGGACTAAATCCTCTGAGCAGACACTGGATGACCTTTCTTCCTGTCTGCCACAGCAAAGAACAGTTGCATTAACTTATGGAAAGGCCGTGTCCTGTAGATATAAAAGGCCAGTGCCCTCCAGACATCCAAGGCGTGTAACCTGCGCTCTCTTTGGAACTATGGGGCTTTGGAAAGAAGACCAATAAGAAAACGTCTTAGCTGATATGAAACTGGGAAACTATCATGTGCAGAAATGCCGGGTGCGGCTGCAACTGGATTTTATTCTTGTAGAACACTATATAGGGTGGCTCCGACATAAGCACCCTGAGCTCTGATACTCTGCAGGTGGATGTAATTGCCATCAGGAATGCCACCTTTCAGAAGAGAAGGAGAAGAGAACAGGAAGCCAGAGGCTCAAATGGCAGTCCCACGAGCCTCGACAGCACAAGGTTCAAATCCCAGGGAGGGACCGGATCCCAGACGTGCGGGTAAAGACCTTTCAGGAATCAGGCCTTCAGGTCATGAGCGAAGATTGACCTGCCTTGGAATGGAGGGTGGAAACCTGAAATAGCAGCCAGTTGGACCCTGACTGACAACAGTGAATCCTTGGAGTTTGAGGTGCAGGAGATAGTCCAGGATCACCTGCAGGGAGGCCTGTTTGGCCCAGAAACACCGATCCAAGGCCCAGCACATAAACCTTTTCCACTTTTCCTGATAGGTCACTCTGGTGGAGGGCTTTCTGCTACCCAACAAGATCAGTTGCATTCAGGTCGAGCATGCCTGCTCATCCACAGTTAGCCACGCAGCAGCCACACTGTCAAGTACAGTGCCTTTAGGTTCTGGTGCAGGAGACTGCCGTGATTCTAAGACAGCAGGTCTGGCCAGAGAGGGAGTTGCAGTGGCTAGGCTACTAAAAGGTCCAGCGGCATGCCGAACCACTGCTGGCAACACCACTCAGGAGCTATCAGGATAACCCTTGCCCTGTCCTGCTTGATTTTCACTAGGACTCTGTAGATCAACGACACTGGCGGGAAGACGTACATCAGGGCCCCGACCACAGAAGTAGAAAAGCATCTGACAGGGAACCCCTGTCCACACCCTCGAGCGAACATAACATGACATTTTCTGTTCTGGGGGGATGCGAAGTTCCCCTGGGAAATTCCCCAATTTCAGACGATCATACTGGCCGCCTCCAGATGGAGCGACGACTTGTAGCGAGACGAGAAGGTTCTGCTGAGGCGATCTGTTAGCACATTCTTGGTGCCAGGCAGGTATCCAGCTACCAGATGAATGGCATGCTGCACAGAGAAGTGCCACAGGTTGAGAGCTTCTTGGCAGAGGGCTGACGACCTGGCTCTGCCCTGTCTGTTGATGTAACACATTGCGGCGGTACTGTCCATGAGGACTTGCACCACCTTGCCTCTCAGGTGGGGCAAGAAGGCCTGGCAGGCCAGGCGAACTGCTCTGAGCTCCCTGATGATGTGAAGGGCCAGATCATCCCACACCCATCGGCCCTGGGTGCTCAGTTCGCCCAGGTGGGCTCCCCAGCCCCAGTCTGAAGCATCAGAGACCAGGGTCACAGAGGGGACTCCCTGCAACACCGATCCAGTGTCCAACCACCAATCGAGGGACAACAGGATTTGATCTGGCACCCTGACCATCCAGTCTAGATCGTGTCAGTTGGGGCTGTAGACTGATGCCAGCCATGCTTGCAGAGAACGGAGGTGGAGCCGGGTGTGACTGACCACATAGATACCAGCGGCCATGTGGCCCAACAACCGCAGACCGGTGTGAGCTGTGGTGAGCGGGCAGCTTCTCACATGGGAGATCAGATCAGACATGGTCTGAAAAAGCACCTCCAGGAGGAAGGCTCTGGGCTTGCGTGGAGTCGAGAACCGCTCCAATTAACTCTATGCATTGGACCAGTTTTAAGGTGGATTTTTTTCCTCGTTTATCAACAGGCCCAGGTCATGGCAGGTGGAACACACCAGATCAAGGTGTCTCTGCACTTGGTTCTGGGACCTGCCTTTGATGAGCCAGTTGTCGATGTATGGGAAGACCTGGACCCCTCGGCATCTGAGGTAAGCAGCCACCAGCCCCACACATTTGGTAAAAACCCTTGGGCTGAGGAGAGGCCAAAGGGGAGCGCCGTAAATTGGAAATGGTGTTTGCCCACTATAAACCGGAGGAAATGCCCGTGACCTTGGAATATGCAGATGTGGAAATTGGTGTCCTTCAAAGCAAGGGGAGCATACCAGTCTCCCAGTTCCAGGGAGGGGATGATGGAGGCCAGGGAGACCATGCGAAACTTCAACTTTTGAGAGCCTTGTTGATGTGTCGTACGTTCAGAAGAGGCCTGAGGCCCCCTTTTACCTTCAGGAATTGGAAGTAGCAGGAGTAGAATCCCTTTCCCCTCATGTACCGAGGGACCTCCTCCACTGCAGCCAGGCGCAGGAGGTTCGCAACCTCCTGAACAAGAGTTGCTGGTGAGATGGGTCCCAGAAGAGTAAGGGTGGGAGGGAGGGAGGGGCGGCCAAAAATTGCAGGGTGTAACCGTGAGACACTATGTACAGCACCCAACGGTGCAAGGTGACTTGGGATCAGGCCAAATGGAAGGAACACAAGCGGTTGAGGAAAGAGCAGGGTGGATCCTGGACGGTGAATGGGGCATTACTCTCAACCGCACCCTCAAAATGAGCACTTCCGGCCACCCATAGTGTTTTGCCGGACCAGGCTGCGCAGGTGAGCGGGGCAACGGTGGCCAGAACTGCCAAGGCTTAGGCACAGGGGCGGCCAGAACCGCCTCCTCACTGCGGTGCGTGCGTTCCCAGCAAGCAAAGGGTGGCCCTGTTGTCCTTCAGCCCATGCAGCCTTGCATCAATCTGATCTTAAAAGAGACTGTTCACATCAAACAGGAAGTCTTGGATGGAGGTCTGAATTTCCTGGAAAGAGACCTTCAGTCTGAAGCCAGGAGCTGCGCCTAATCACCACCGCCGACACAACCACCCTGGCTGCCGTGTCCCACACCATCTGGAGGGAGCACCTGGCAGCCACAGTGCCCTCCTCCACCAGGGTCCAAATTCTTGGGTCAACTCCTGTGGAAGGGACTCTCTGAACCTATGAAAGGAGTCCCATAAGTTAAATTCGTAACCGCCCAAGAGGGCCTGATGGTTCACCACCCAGAACTGCAAACTAGCCGTCGAATAAATCTTTCTCCCAAACAGATCCCACTGTTTGGCGTCTTTATTTTTGCGAGTCAAACTGGTATGCCCATTCGTCTCTTTTATTGGCCGCAGAGACCATCAGCAAGCGGGTGGGCGGGTATAGAGGTACTCTAACCCCTTGGCTGGGACAAAACTTCTTTTCAGCCCTCTTTGAAGTGGGAGGACAGAGGTTGCCAGAGACCCTTGGCAATCTTAAGGACTCCGTTGTGCACCGGTAGTGCGAGAGGAGTAGGGGTGGAGGCTGACAGGACGTTAAACAAGGAGTCCATCTGTTCAGCCATTTCCTCTGCCTCCAGGCCCAACTTCTCGGCCACCTGACGCAGCAGGGCCTGATGTTCTTTGAAATCATCGGGCGGGCTTGTCCTTGAGGGTCCCGCAATCACCTCATCCAGGGACGAGGACGATGATTGCACTGCTGGGGGAGGTTCTGGGGCATCTTCCCCTGTGGGGGAAGGAGGCTTAGGGGTGGGCACTATTCCCTCTGCTCCAACCAATGAGCGTGCCATCGGTGGTGCAAGCTGCTGCTCCAAGGCAGTGCCAATGAGTGGTGAGAAGTGGGCATCACCACAACCGGCATTCCCCATGTGCCCCAATAAGGCCATTTCACCTGCCACTGGCCATGCTGCCAAGTTGGTTCAGTCCATGTCGACACAGCCTTGAGTGCCCATTCGCACTCGTGCTGACTAGGCGAGGGGCTGAACTGGGCTTCCGTGCCGGAGGAATCCCCTTCCTGTGACCACGGTGGGGCCGCTGACACCTGGGTCTGCTTGCTGGGCATCACTGACAGGGACCAGTGCCCAGAGAGAGATGATCAATGCTGGTATCGAGGGGCCAGTGCTGGGGGGACTGGAGACACGATTGGGAGAACTTCCACAATTCGGGAGACCAGGACCTGCGCCTATAAGACTATCTGCGGGAGGATGAGTGGCATCTTGCTCTAGGCAATCCACGTTGAGATGGTAGTGACCGGGAATGTGGCATCTGTGACCGAGGAGCCCCACAGCATCCGGGATGCGGTTCCACTAACCACGACAGGCAGTAAGAAGGAACTAAGAGGGCAGAGTGTCGGCGGCGCCTGATATACCGACGCATGAGCACAGAACTCAAGGGGGCGCCACTGCCAACCCTAAGGATACCGCTAAGGCAAAAATCTCTGACAGCAGTCGGCACATGCACCCCTAGAACGGAATCGACATGAGCAAGCATTTGAAGAAGAATGTATTTTATCAGCTGTAACCAAATTGTTGTAGAATTCCAATAAATATTTTAGTCCCTTAGATTACCAACAGTGACATGCCAAAATCTATAATGGCGTTCCTGTCAGTAAAGTCAAGGAGTTGCATAGCATGCATCACATTAAGCACAAATTTTGGTGTAGTATGTATCTTTCTATAAAGTTTTTTAAAATTTTTTTGTTTTTCCTTAAAGTTCCGTTTTTTATAGATGTTCCTTTTTATAGACAGACATACCTTCTTTGTTTTAGGATACTTAGCAGGGCATTTATTAAGTGCTGGAGCTTCTGTTTCAGTAACTATTTCTGCAATACTAGTTTCTGTTTCAGGCTCAGCTGCAAGTGCAGTGTTCTCAGTTTCATTCTGTTGTGAAGCAACTTCCACATCTGGAGAAGACGGCTGGATATCTGAACACGTGCTGACAGTTCTGTGTCGTCTACGCTGCTGTCCAATATGTGTTCTGCTCCGAGAGAAACTTTTTCTTTGTTTAGCTCTATTAACTTTGGCAGGGGTTGGCTTGGTGGCAGTTTCCTCTTTTGCTGATTCCTGGTGCAAGATATAGCAGTTAAAGTAGTTACATACATGCCTAAGAATAAAACAAGACTGATTCCCTCATTCTTAGAGGTTTGAAAGACTATAAACCCAATTTCTGGCTTTACAACGGAAATACTTAATGCCTGTACCCTCTCAAGATACAAACATGTGCATGGGGATTCCTGTATGTTTATGTGAAATATCAGCCATTAGCCACTGTCGAGCAGGAATCTGGAGAGGAAAAACTACTGGTCTAACTGACTTGGTAATTCCTCTGCTGAATTTTATGATAGTTTCTAACTAGACTGGTCTATAATTAATTTATTTATATCATAAATCTCTTTCAGGGCAAGGACCTTGTTCCCTTGTTTGTCTGCAGTGCCCCAGCACACCTTTGGTGCTACATAAATAATGCTCTTAAATATGTTAACTGAATATTTTGGACTTTTCCTTGTCTCTGTTACAGTATCTGCATAGTAAAGAAAGGCAAAATATTTAATACAGAGAATGCAGTACTATTCAGCAAGGAAAGTATTTCCCACTGCTGATTAATGCTTTTAACCATGGCTGTTACAAACAGCATGGTTTTAATTTATTGAATTTTTATTTTAAGTATACCTGACAAAGTTATTCTTACTTAAAATCTAAGCATTTACAATGACATGCATAATATATTTATATACTTTCTCTTTGAAGATCACCACGTGTATCAGACATAACAAACTAAGCCTTACAAAACTCTTGGAGTTAGGATTAGAGTGCAATCTGACTCTCACTCCTGAACTCTAAATACTAGCTAATGCAGTCTCCAGGGAACCTTTGTGTGTATATAAAACTCTCTTAATTTAACTGCTATGAATGGTTATACTAATTTATCTGTTCTTGAAAGATTAAAAAATATACCATGTCATGTCAAAGCTCTGTTCAAATTTTACTAAAATTTGAAGTCAAATCCCAAAGACAAAACATGGAATTAAGATTTCAAAAGTTTTAGACTAAAAATCTATTTTGAATTCCAAACAATCTTTAACAAGATAATATTTAGTACTTGTTTTAAGTTACAGATAGCTACCTGAATAAACTCTGTGTCACTGATAATCTGTGCTTCCTTGCATTCTGATTTAACCTCCGTTTTAGCCGTGCTGATTCTTTCCAAAGCTTGTTCTCTTCTTTTTTCTCTTTTTTCTAGTCTGGCAAAAGCTTGCAGAATAGCTTCCATTTTCCGTTCTTCTCTTGTCTGAAGCATATAATAAAGATTTATCAGATATCGAACATCAGTTTTAGACACAAAATGCACAAGATTTGATTTTTAAGAAGGGGCTTGAAAAAAACATTCAGTGATACACATATAATGTGTTCATGTTCAGGTCAGATTCAGCCAAAGCTCAGAGAAAATGACTGTTAGTATCATGAGATAGTATTTGAACAACATTTGAATTCTTACCAGCCCCATCATACACAAAGTAGGATTTCCTGTTCTGGACTAGAACCAATAGCATACTAATCATAAGCATTTACCAGTAATCAGTTATACTAGAAATGTAAAAATAGCATGTAGCTCCAGGTCTCAAGCCCTCTGGCTATTATTTGTATGTTGCGCCAAGTCAATTTCACAATGGGAATACTGCAAAACTGATGGCCAGAGGAAAATGAACATTACTTATCAGGAACAATACAAATAAATGGAGTTTTTCAACATTACATATGCCAAAGTAGTATTTTATTTTTTTAATTTAAAAGAATATTCCATATATACTCATTCGTTAATAAGCCGACTCCCAAAGATGGATAGGTAAAAATAGTAAAAACTGTATGACCCTTTCATAAGCCGACCCTATATTTCAGGGGTTGGCAAACTTTGGCTCCCGGCCCGTCAGGGTAAGTCGCTGGCAGGTCGGGACGTTTTGTTTACCTGGAGCGTTCACAGGCACGGAGCCCTGCAGCTCCCATTGGCTGGGAACGGCGAACCACAGCCACAGCGAACTGAGGGGCTCCATGCCTGCAGACGCTCCAGGTAAACAAAACAACAATGTATTAGACATTCAATTCAATGATTTCATAGAGTTTTAAATCATCAAATTTTGGTGTAGATCCATTTATAAGTCGACCCCCACTCTTTGATGCGTCCCTTTTTTACCAAAAATATTCGGCTTATGAACGAGTATATATGGTATGTGTCAAAATAGGTGCCCTTAGGTTAATATACCAACATTGCCATATAAAGCAACTAGATTCTCACTATGAATACAGGAGTAATTCAGGTCTTGATCCTTGTGCATGACAGAGCCCTTGCACTCACGGAGAGCTCCATTTATGTAAATGCACAAGTTACAGGATCAGATCTTTAGATGAAAAGCTCTGAGTCAGGGACCTGTCTTTCCATTTTCTGTGAAGGGCCATACATACCTATGGCAAGGTATTTTTCTTACTACTACTAACTTTAATCTTGTTCCAGTAAAGACTGGGCACAATAGAGAAATACGTTTTATGTTAAAGAAAGGGGGCACTTACAATTAACTATGCTGCTCCTAACAGTGAAACAAATGGGCAAAATAAAGCTCCAGCTCTGCACCTGTTTTACTAATACAGTAACTCCTCACTTAACGTTGTAGTTATGCTCCCAAAAATGCTACTTTAAGCTAAACGATATTAACCAAATCCAATTTCCCCATAAGAATTAATGTAAATAGTGGGGGGGTTAGGTTCCAGGAAAATTTTTTTCACCAGACAAAAGACTATATTTACTTACACACACACACACACACACACACACAGTGTAAGTTTTAAACAATTTAATACTGTACACAGCAATTATGATTGTGAAGCTTGGTTGAGGTGGTAGAGTCAGAGGGTAAGATATTTCCCATGGAATGCCTTACTGCTAAAATGATGAACTAGTACTTGGCTCAGCCCTCGTGGAAGGAGGAGACACAGCATGGCAGAGAGATAGAGACACACAGTGTGTGTGAGTGTGAGAGAGAGACACAGACAGACAGACATGGGCATTGCCCTGACTCCACTCTAAGTACACTGCCTTTTTAAGTAGATCAACAAGTTGAGACAGCAAGCTCCCTCCTGAGCCCGTAGTGTCATCCGCTTTCTTCCCCTTCCCCCCCCTCACCCCCATGGAGATGGGGCAAAGGAGTGGGGCGAGGGGGACACCTTGACATTAGCATTCTTTTTTCCCCCTCCCCCCGCACAGCAAGCAGGAGGTTCCTGGGAGAAGCTCCAAGGCTGAAGGCAGGAGCAGCACATGGCAGTGGGGGAACTGACTGGCAATTGATAGCCAGCTGGGCAGCTGCAGCACATGGAACTTAGGGGAGCTGCCGGTCCACCCTCGTTCCAAGCCCCTACCAGCTAGTTCCAATGAGCTGCTCTTTCTGCAAGCAGTGGACAAAGCAGGCAGCTGCCAATCAACATTATAAGGGAGCACTGCACAACTTTGAACGAGCATATTCTCTAATTGATCAGCAACGAAACAACATTAACCGGGATGACATTAAGTGAGGAGTTACTATATCTGAAGGTAAAGCTTTATATTATTTGCAATTATGATGATGGAGTTGTAGTTTAGACTTAATTCTATTCTCATTGTGCAGGATTATTATGCACCACTATCTGCAGCACAGTTAAAGTTGCTATACAGAGTTCAGCTTTAATAGGAGCTTTAAACTTTTATTCTGTACAAATCTAATTGAAATGGCAAAACCAAAATAAATATAAACGTGGTTACTACTTGCATTTTTTCATGGTGGTTTGATGAATAATGAATTGACATAGAATATTGTTCAAAATTTTGGTTGTCTATATTTCAGAATTTTTTAGCCATAATGGAAAATGTGTGCTAAGGCAAATCTGCTGTATTTCATTTGATGACAAATCTGCCACATCAATCTTGACAAAAATTGTAAAACAAAAAAAAAGAGAGAGAGAGAGAGAGAGAGAGAATCCTTCCCCATACACCACCGTATAGTGCAACTTCATCAAGTTTGGACTCTAACACAAAACTTTAACAATTGCCTCAGCAGTATTAAGGCAGAATAACTTCCCAAATGCATGTGATATGAGACAGTCAGATGTGCTGATGTGTTGCTATAAAGCATATGAGATCTTAAAAGTTTTGCATTAAAATGCAAGTTCAATAAAGTTGGGTTACATATTGCTTTTTTATATCAATTGGGGATGGAAATGAAAACCTAATGGAGTGTTGTAGTACCTTATCCATAGCTTTGCAGGCAATATGAAGGTGGAAAGAAATGCAAAAATCTTTTCCCTTACCATCTTAAAATTTGTTTATGGTTATGGGATGATGGAGCATATCCTGTTGCAACCTGAAACACCGCTAAACACAGCTCTTTGGTTGCTATTTAAACAGAATTCAGTGTCAAAATGGTGTTCACTTGCATAAAACTTACCATGCAAAGATTGAGCACCTGATGATATAATGTATATTTTAGACAAAGAATACACATTTCAAAATCTGTGACTGACAGAAATTTAATATTTTTAAGAAGAAATAATAGATCAAATATGAATTATTATATAATCACTTAGTTTTTTTGGGAAAGGGGAAGATATGCAACAGTAAACCATTCCTATTCTGTCATACCCTAAAGAAAGTGGTTTTCCAGCACAACACAATAAATACTTGTTAACACAAAATTACATTTAGGCAGTATAGAACATAATCCACAAGTCTTCCCCTCATTAATTTAGAGTTAGACTGACTTAATTGCCTTTTATCTCTTCCCTCTTTTAATCTGAAAGGATTTAAGAGAGATGCTCTCATCCTCTCTTAATACATCTGGTATTCAATCTACAGAGCAAAATTACCTTTGTAGAATGTCACTTATCTAATTACCCTAGTCAAAGGCAAGGTAACATCATGGCACTCACTAGAAGTTTATGAAGGAATTTTTTTCTCTCCATAATAAAAATATTCAATTGCACTAAAGTTATTTACTTCTCCCCAGCTAAAACAGCAACAGTTTGAGACTAGACCTCATAATCCATATTTTATAATCCTCATTTTGGCAAATATGAGTAGAAAATCAAAAGGCTAACTACTGACTACTAACAAATGTCATAATGCAACACTGAAAATTAACAGGTTATAATAATACTTTCAAATGCATGTTCTAATTTTGCATTGCTATGTTAGTAAAAATCTGGTAGGATACTAATACATCCAATTTAAGTAGGTATTTCAAGTTGTGGAAGGTGGATCAGTCATTTAAATTTGACTTTCAGGGACTTAACAAAAAAGTCTAGCTGAGGGGAGTGATGAGGTACGAAGTCCCCATTTCTTCAAATTTTCCCCTCACACGTAATGGCAGAAGTTAGTGATGGAAAGAGACCCATATGACCAACTTATCCACTATGCCCACGCTAATGTAGAATTACTCTCCATAGTACATTTTCTAATGTTTTGTCCAATATAGGTAAATGTCTTAAAGCAATGGGTCACTATAATTTTCCCTCAAAGCATACTGTGCATGTTTATCCATATCTTTAGGAAGCATTTCCTGATGTTCAGGATATTTTTCTTTTCATATTTGTAGCCCTATGTGTTTTCAATAAAATATTTTGGACAGAGCTGTTTCACCCATTACCCCACAGCATTTAACTGAGATACGCATGAATTAATTCAGTCTTTCCTCATAAGCAACTGTGTGTGTATTCTGTAATTCTGTGGCTCCACTCCTTGCTGCAGAATTATGTTCCAGTTCCTAAGCCTTCGTTTAAAAAAAAAAAAAAAAGTTTCTTGCTGCTATGGTGGTGAAGATTACACTCTGATCATGTTTTCAGGGTTAACAGTTTTGTCTACAGACAGCCTCAAAGAGTTCAGAAGAATGAAGGGCCTCCAAAAACATTAGTGGGGTGCTGACTGACCCCTAACCAAGACAATTTTAAATGTCAGTCTTGTTAAAGACAGAGTCAACTTTCATCTGAATGTTTACCTATTACTGTCATATGTTAAAACTAAAGTTTCTTTAAATATTAGAGAAAATCTGGTATTGTTTATTTTGTACATTTATAGTATTTGGAACACAATGAAATGGAGTGTATGCCATTTACATGGGTTTTCTGCACAGCAACATAGCAGAGAGAAAGTATTATAAAAACAAAATGTGATTTTAAAACCACAAAAATTGGCCTTAGGGGATCAACCAGTCTCATATCACTGAAGGTGCCAAAACTGGACCTGCAGGAAGAAAGCAGTTCACATAGAGAAAA